GGGCACCTGAGGAAAGCCCCGCACACCTGGGCACCGACAGCACAGCAGCCACCGGGGCTGCGGGCCCACAGCTTTTACCCACCTTGCTTTTAAAAGGTGGAGTAAGTCATGGTACCTGGAAAATAATTTTTGCGTTATTAGGACGTTCAGTTCATGATCCTTTTAAGTATGAACTGCTGTTAATACAGTTTCCCTCAGTGAGCAGCGCGTCCCAGCTGTTCCCCGTGTCTGTGACAGCAGGGTGGGCACTGTTCCACCAGATAATGAGGCAAGGCACAGACGATCCAGGAACCTGCAGTTCAGGTGCAGTCAGGGTGTCTTTGCAACCTCACCAAGGACAAGAACCCGTGACTTCAGTAGAACTTGGATGCTGGACATTGTTAATGCACCTCACAGCACAACCACCATTCTTTGGAGGTGTGGTGGGAAATCCATAGTCTTTGCCCCTGGTTGCCTTAGCAAATAATGCAGCAGGAGAGTAACAGGAGGTGAAAATTTACAGAGGGGAACACAGTGCTGGCAACCCAACTCTCACATACTGCATTTTACCCTTTGAACTATTCACCCCATTCCTGCATAGCCTCCCGATATCTGAGCTCTGCTCCTGTGCCACAGCATCAGCCATTGAGCAGGAGAGCCATGCTCACTCCCACGGCTGCTGCTGTGACCCAGGCACAGCATTTCACTCTGAGGAGGAAGCTTCAAATGGTGAAGCAGCCTTTGTGTAGAATGCTTCCCATGCAGGAGCTCCAGTGCTCTGTAGGGCAGCACAGTTGTACCCTCTGGGGCTGAGGGGGGAACCAGGCATGGACCTACAGCCTCTTATTTTAGGTCCTTCAGATGCACTTTTCTCTCCCTCAGGGGTGTGGGCTGCAGACAGAATGCACTGGGTCTTTCCTGCCTGAGCATTTGGTAACAGTGTGCCAAAAGTGAAGGTAGAACACTCTGCAGAGGCATTTGAATACTAATTAGTGATTTCAAAAGGTGATACTCTGCTTTGAAAGGAATTGAAGGCAGACAGGGTTTATGCTGTAAAAATTTTTGGAATCATAGCATTGCTAAGCTCTAGTCCAAAAATTACAAATACGGTAAATATCTTAAAAAATTTGATCCCAGGACAAAGACAACAAACGACCTAAATGAAAGCTCAGAGGGAAAGAGTGATAAGAATATTGATCTACAGGATGTTGTTATTATTGCATGGTGTTTGAAAGCATTGATTCACTCAACAGCTTTGCTAAAGGGACCTGACATTGCAGTTCTGCTGTCACTTAGTTCAGTGCAACTTTCTGTAAACTGCCATCTGAAATTTCCCATAGCCTGTGTCCTCAGGAGGCGCTAGGGCAGTGCTTTTCATGAAAACAGTTTGTCATTTTGGTGCTTTCCATTATGAGGGAATGTGAAGAAGTCAAGGTATAAATACTAACCATTAGATTCTGTCGTTAAATCAGCATTTGAGTGGTTTGGAAATTAGTGTGGAGCCTGATAATGGACTCCCAGTGTCAGAAATGTCACACTCTAGAAAAATGACAGTTGCCAGCAGGCAGCACAGCAATATAATTTTGACTACAAAATATGACACTAATACAATTTAAACATAGTGCAAAATGCAACAGCGCAGGAAAACTGATTTATGTGTGCTATCAAAAGCAAATTTTAGAATCTGGTCAGGACAATATATTTCTGTGTTCAGGAAAGTTAGGATTCTTTGGTTTATAAGACCTTTTGAATGAAGATACTAATTTTTCTTCCAAGTCGAAGCTGCTAGAATTGACTGCCTGTTGATGCTGCAGCTGTCCTTACAGTTGCTTATTAAACGGGCAAGGCAAACCAATAAACCTGCAGATAGTAATGGTTTTATTTTTTTAAGGCAAAACCCTTCAAAGATAGTTAAACACGGAAGTTCAGGCTAGCAAAGTTTTCTAGATCACAAGATTCTTTGTGGTTCATCACATGGCTCTTCCTTGTGGATTGTCCCCTTATTCTGCATTTCAGAAGAAACTTTCAGGCAAGGAGGAGAATGGAGATGAAGCACAGTTAATGCAGGAACTGTCTAATCCAGGTTTAGTGCTGGATGTGTCATGTGTGTCCATGTATGTACTTACATGTTTTATGTAAGTACAGAAAATGTGTTTTTCCCCCCACAGAGTAAACATGCCTAAAAAGAAGACGGGTGCTCGTAAGAAAGCCGAGAACCGTCGGGAGCGTGAGAAGCAGATCAGAGCTTCACGAGCCAACATAGACCTGGCCAAACACCCTTGCAATGCTTCAATGGTAAAGTGACCTCAAGTATTCTTTATTAAAGTACCTAATTTTTGATTGTGTAAACCCAGTGATAACACCTTGAATGCATTTAATGCCACTAGAATGCCATTCTTCCTGCTATCCTTCCTATTTAAGGTTACCTTTGCACCAGACAGAATATTGATTAAAAGGTTTGGATCCTAATTGTAACTCCCTGTGGAGGTCTGTAAATTTTATATATTTTTCCTAGTATGAAAATAATTAACCAGTGTTTTATTTTTTCTTTTAAGGAATGTGATAAGTGCCAAAGGTAAGAATTTTTACCCTTCTAAAACCAATAGTTTAGTATTTGTTTCAGACATTTTACAGTTATTTTAATGCTTTCTTTTAAAGTGTAATACTTTATTTTTGTTTTTTTCACCTCCATGTGCCTAGACGACAGAAGAATAGAGCTTTTTGTTACTTCTGTAATTCTGTTCAGAAATTGCCCATTTGTGCACAATGTGGTGAGTAGAAGTGATGAATGAAAACAAGCTGTCCTCAGTCCTGTTTCTGTGTTGAACTCTCAGTATCTATGTTACAGTAGCTTTATCCTTAAGTACCTCTGTGATGTGGAGCAGGTTCTTGTGAATCAGCTGTGAATATCCACCTTGGGAATTGATCTTCTTTGATCAGTATATATGCCTCTAATCCCCAGAGGTTTGCAAGCCTGGATCATGGCTTGTCTTCTTTGGAAACAATTGTCTCACTTTCTTTTAGGTTTGAGAAATCTGACTGTTTCCATGTGGAGCATTGTTTCATAACAGCAGCAAAACTACAAAAGCTCTGACTGCTAGCAAGGCACCAATAAATACTGCCTTTTTTAGGGATTATATAATTTCTGATCAATATCAGTTAAAGCATCAATATATTATTATTTTATTTCTACATAGTTTTCTTATGGTTGCTTGCCTTTTTATTTTAAACAGGAAAAACCAAATGCATGATGAAGTCTTCTGACTGTGTTATAAAACATGCTGGTGTGTACAGTACTGGACTAGCTATGGTGGTATGTATACAAAATTACAGCCCTCTTTGCACTATGAGAATATTCTGTGCAAATCTTCTGGAAAAACGATAAAACAGATTTGTGGGATGATAGCATGTACCATGGCAAATTTGTTTTTTTCCTTGCTTTTCTGTAACAAACTGATTTTTCCCTTATACTGAAACCCCCAAATTTTGAAGTTTTAGATTCAGCTCCTGCAGACTCCAGCACATGTCCTGGATGCTAATGGATCTGTGTTGGTGGCAGGCCCTAAGCACATGCACGAGGAGCACTGGACCCTTACATGCACCACAGACAATTCCCAGCCTTCATTAAAATGTAGGATTATTCTGCAGAAACCTGCAGACTTTTGTTGCTGTTGTCTTAGTACTGCAGAGATTGTCAGTAACACAGAGAGGAATCTGTTCCACTAGACGGCAATTTTAATGAACAAACCCCTTCTTTTGGGCTCTTAATCAGAGATAATCATAGCTTCAGGCCTTTGAAGGTTTGTTCTTAGAAGGACAAGTTAGTTTCTGGAAAGCAAGGTGTGAGTGTCACAGCCCCTGGATTAATGATCTAACCCTCTGTCCTGTTGCTGCCCGCAGCTGGCCATCAGCTGTTCTCAGTAACACAGCCAGCCTTTACATGCTGGTGTGATCCCATGCACTCACTGATGCAGGAGTGAACACATCAACACTTAAATTTGGATTCACCATTGTTTTCTTAGCTTTGTGTGCATGTAATGCACATAGTAATTAGTTACCTATGGGCTGAGAGGCTTCTTAAATGCTACAGTTAAGGACAGCTGAAGCAGAGATCTTACAATTTAATAAAAATAAAAGTTAAATAGTCAGACTTACTTCTAATAACTTATTTGTTCTTTGCTCTCTGCAGAGCTCTAATATAGTAGAGTTTAAAATCCAAGTGAGTGATTTCAGCTTTAAGAGTCTAAAGGCATTTCTCAAGTCTTTGAAATTTCATTTTTGCCAGAACATTGTTATCATTTACGGATCCCAGGTTTCAACTGGAGGACACAATTTTCCATGTGCCAAGTGTGTGATAAGAAATGTAAAAACCAGGACTGAGATAGGGAACCAAATTATTTTGCATCATATGTAATCCTGCAGAAATGAATAACAAACAAACACGAACTGTGGAGCAGCTTGGTCGCAGCACTCGGAAAACAGGTTTGGTTCAATATCTCACTCAGCCAAAGTGAGCCCATGGAGAGAAGGGATACCAGGATACATTGAGGATTATGGGATAAGGCTCTGTTGGTGTTGCAGAAGTGCTGAGATGGTATCTCGCTGTGATTGCAGGGTGCAATCTGTGATTTCTGTGAAGCCTGGGTGTGTCACGGGAGGAAGTGTCTCAGCACCCACGCGTGCATGTGCCCTCTGGCAGATGCAGAATGCGTTGAGTGTGAAAGAAGCGTCTGGGACCATGGTAGGTTGCTCACATTTAAAAATAAGAACATATACATTACACTGCTTTCCTTGCATTGCTTAAGTGAGTGCACCTGTATTCTTTAAATAACCTTTTTAGTCTTCCTTAAATTAGTCCTTGCAGTATGTTTGTTCAAAGCAAGGATTCTCCCCGTTTTAAAAATAGTCATTTTACAGTGGGGGAAGTAAATTACCTGCTCAAGAACATACGGTGCTCAATTCAGGGATGGTTACGTAAGCTAAATTATGATGGTTTTATCAGCTTAATTATTCACATAATTAAGCACTGCATCAAATTGCCAACACAGGTTTCTGCGATTCTTACTCCATTCTTCTGCACTAGCACGGGTATTTGGATTTCCAGTTGCTTAGGAAACCATACTGATCTCCTTTTCTGAATCTTTTAAAGTATTTATTTCAAGTGTGTATCAGAGCTGAGCAGAGAAGACTGGATGAGAGTGTGATCTGATTTAAAAAAAATAGTTTATGCTACAGTCAAATTAAAATGAGGAAAAGTATTAGAAGTAATGCTTGCTTTATAGTTATACTGTCTTATATTGTAGAATAGGAGGTATTTTTCATTGTAAAAATGGATAGCAGTGTCTAATTAAGACCTTGAAGCATTTGTCACAGAAGGGAGAACTGGTCTTCAGTCAAAACTACCTCCTAAATTGTTTGCAGAGCAGGACTTGATGCCTCTGTCCATTGTTGATTATTTTGCCTTGATAAATCTTTCAGGAGGCAGAATATTCGCCTGCTCTTTTTGCCATGATTTCCTCTGTGAAGATGATCAGTTTGAGCATCAAGCCAGCTGCCAAGTTCTGGAAGCAGAGACATTTAAATGTAAGTTAGTTATTCATAATCCCTTTCACCACGGCAAAGGGATTATGTTTCCTCTGTGCTCCAGAATACTCTCCATCACCTTTCCCAAGTAGATTTTGCCACCCCTGGAGGGAAGGGCCTGTTTTCTATGTACTGGCTTTTGGTATCCAGTTATCCAGACTGGAACTTGTTTCTCTTTCATGGCCCTTCCTCCATGCCAGAGCATACCTGGCAGTTGTTTTCCTGCCAGCCTCTTACAGGACAGAACTGCTGTTTGTAAGAGGACATGATGGCCATGCCTGACACTGCTCATCCATTACTCATCTCTGGCTGAAACAAGGTGTCTTCAAAGGAAGTTAAAAAAAAGAACAACAATAAAACAAAACAAGCCAAGACTTTGCATATTTGAAATAACTAAATTTTTCTAGCAGCATTTCTTGCCTACCCACCATTAAATAGGATTGGATTTATTGCAAAACAAGCATTTGTTTGCCTTCCCAAAACTTGCATGCGTGTATCTTGACTGTTGCAACATTTTCAATTCTTAGTGTAGAAATTGCAGGTATCTTTATCATAACGCTGTTTTCCTTTGAACTGACTAATCTCTTGTCCTAATTGATTTCTCCTGGTCCAGAATATTTGTGATTTCAGTATTTTAATCAGTGTCTTTAGACATCTCTTACCTTCTTTTCATCTTCCATAGTTTTGTTCCTAGCCAGCTATTTTTTAAGCCTTGCTTAGCTTCTCTTGATGTATTCTGCCAGAATTCCCTAGATGTATTCTGCCAGAATACATTTTCTTCCTGCACAGCAATATTGAGGCAGCAACAGCTGTTCCATAAGAATGTTTCTTCAGTGATTGTTGGAAGCTCTCAATTCACACATGTGGTATCACACCCTAAATAGAGGGAGAATTTTTTTGAGGGTTTTCACTGTGTTTTGTGGCACAGAGCAGACTTCATAGAGACGAGATTTTTGTCAGTGAGGTAACAAGATTATAAGACTTGTATTTTTACAGAAGACATGAACTTCAAATGTGGTCGTGCAATTGTAGTGTAAATCCATTTGAGCTGTGGAAATGGTGCTGTTACTTTCCATCACTATCTGAGAGAGGTTTTTGAAGTTCAGGTACTCAAAAAACAATGCATATATATTCAGCATCAGCATTTCCAGTTCCATCTTTAAACATGCCATAGCTCTAAATCCCATGTCTGTCCTGCTCATGTGGAGAACTGATAATATTTATTACTTCAGATTGAAAAACTGCTGTTGTAGGGGTTAAACAAGGAGGTAAGGAATGTGTACTTGCACAGAAACTGGAATGTATGTATTACTGTTTCTTGAGGAGTAACTATTCACCAGGCTTCGTGTTCCTGCCAATTCCTGAGTGTTTGCCTTTACTGTACTCCCTCTAGTGGAATAATAAGAACAATTTGGAGTTCAAGACAAGTTAAATTTTGGCTACTGATTCTGCTCCTTACAGCTTGTGTGCCAGCTCCAGTTCTTTAACTCAGGTAGATTCTCTTATGAAGTTTGTGCAGTGAAGTACATTTCCAGAGGATATGACAGAAAATACAGAATGTAACAACTTTTCTAGGTTTGGAAGTTGGCAAGCTTAAAGTGTTCTTACATCTCTAGCTCTCCTTCATATGAATGCTGTGAGAAAAGGAAAAGCAAGATGAGACCTCTAACTAAAATGGTTCTGAAACCTCAGGTTTTAAAAGTTTAGAAGCTCAAGAAATAGTTAAATGCTTCTCCCTTCTTGAAATTTCACTTTTTGTGTCAAAGTGAGGTTAAGAGTTAAGAAAATCTAGTAAAATGGTGCTGTGAGGTAAAATGACTGATTCACATTGCTAGAGTAGAGATGTGTCAGGGAATTAAAAATAAATGCCTCAATTATGGTACTGCATACTTTTACAAGGTTTTAAAGACATGACAGGTCTGCAGTTTCCTAGCACTGAATTTGTCATTCTGCTTTTCTCCAACAGGTGTCTCCTGTAACAGGCTGGGGCAGCATTCCTGCCTGCGTTGCAAGGTAAAGACACTCGTGAGGAGCTGATTTTAGGCTTATTCTCCTTGGCCTCCAAGGCTGGTATCAGGCCTTGCCACATCTTCCTCTCCATGATTAAAAGGAAATTCATACTTTACTTTTGTAGTTCCTGTAGTCTGGGGTCAAACCTGTGGGGGACAGAAGGTCTTATACCTGTGCTTGCCTGTTAGCCACAAGGCAGAGTGAGGTCTTCTTCGCCCAGCTCTCTTTGAGTTGGGCCTGCAACGTGTTGGGGCTTTAAAAAACAACCAAGACAACAAAATAAAGCCTTGGTGGTGAACAGAATCCAAGGCTTTGGAAAACGCTTTGATCCAGTGTGGATCTGCAGCCATTAGGAAAGTTGTTCTTTTAAACAGTCAGGTGATTATCTGACTAGAAACCGCTGCATCCAAAGGAGTAATCCCCACAGATAATCCAGTTGATGAACAGGCTGATTTGTTGGCATTGGGCTTACATTTTGACACACTCAGAAGTAATTGTGTATAAAAAGTTCCGCCTTCTGCACCATCAGCATTGTCCAGATTCTCCAGGTGCTGGTTCATTGCCTGCTCTTGCTCTTCTTACCTTCCATATGTTTTCCCTGCACTCTCCCATGGCATTGGTGGCCTCTTCCAAACAGTTCCTTTTTCCAGGTATTTTCACTGCACCCTGGTGCTCAGTCTGTGAACTTCCCATCTCTAATTCTTTCCTCCAGGCTCCTGCATACTTTTGTTCTGGCATACATCTCATTGTGTTTATTTAAGCTTGTCAGCACAAACCCAAGCTTGCCAGGCTCCTTGTGGGCAGCCCTGCAATCCAGCCCTGGATTATGTTACTATCTCTGCATGGTTATTGGCACTTGTGTTCAGCCTCTTCCCCAGAAACCCTTGAACCACACTGAACACAGAGTCCTTCCTCTGTGCACAGACCCCATGTCCACTGCAGGGAGACCTCATTAAATTATAATGCCAGCCAGAAAGCCCTGCTGATGTTGGACACATTTTGGCTTGCTTGTTGTTGAAGAATGTGCTTCTGTGATTAAAATATTTGGCCTTTGTACTCTCCCTTCACCACACAGGCTTGTTTTTGTGACGATCACGTGCGAAGTAAGGTTTTCAAGCAGGAAAAGGGGAAAAAGCCTCCCTGCCCTAAGTGTGGCCATGAAACTCAGCAGACAAAGGATCTGAGCATGTCAAGTAAGCCAGTTTCTCTAGCTAACAAGCCATACAAGTGCCATCAGTGATTAATTTCTACCTAGGAGCACTGAGTAGTGTCTGGCTATGTTCAATTGTTTTGCACAGTTTTGCTTTATTTGTTTTGAGCAAAACTTTGTGTTTCTGAGTTCTGGAATTGAGCAGTCTCATTCTCAACAATTAATTCATTCCAAGAAAATGAAAGCTTTTGTCTGGTTTGAGATTTTAGTTGTGGATAAATGAAAAATAATTGCCATTTAAACTACTCTTCAGGTAGTGAAAAAAAGAAATGAAATGTTGGATTAGTGGGAGCATGATGATTTTTCTTTGCCTGCAGCACGTTCATTGAAATTTGGCCGACAGACTGGAGGAGAAGATGCAGATGGAGCTTCTGGTTATGATGCCTACTGGAAAAACCTTTCCTCCAGCAAGGCTGGGGAGGCAGGTGACCGTGAGGATGAATACGATGAGTATGAAGCAGAGGATGATGATGAAGATGACAATGATGAGCGAGGGAAGGATTCAGATTCTGAGGCCACGGATGTGTTCAGCAATTTGAATTTAGGAAGGACCTATGCTAGTGGCTATGCACATTATGAGGAATCAGAAGATTAAGTGTGCTGGCTTTGGAGGAGCCAAGCAATGCTTCACTGGGTTGTGTACATGCTAGTAAGATAGCTCTATCAGGTACTTGGGTATCAGAGTTAGAGAGCAAAGAATGTGGGACTTCCGCAGTAACTCCAAAGGACATTTTTCCTGTAGATGAACTAATGTTAGGTTGGGGATTGGGGGAGAAAATCAAGATATTTTTATCCCCCCAAACAACAGAATGGTTTTGTCCTTGAGTTACTGAGTATAATGGTTCAATACCGTTTCCTCCTATCAACACAGGAATGTGGGAAAGCTGTAGCTGTTGCTTCCATTTGCCCATCAGAAACTAAGTTATTTTTTACAGTAATTTTGTTAACTGATTTCATACATTATGCAGTGGTGGGTTGGTGACTGCATTTTTTTTGGTCTGCACAATAAAAGTCAACTGCATTACCTAATGAACTGTCATAATTATTGATCTCCCTTGAATAGCTGGAAAGCAGGTTGTGTACAAAGTGTAAATTGACACTGAAATTACTGCCTTGTTTATGTCAGTATGGCAGATCAAGGTAGTTCTTTGTGTATTTGCACATCACCTTTTCAGTATTTTTATTATTAGATATTAATTGGTGGGGCTCTGTGTAGTCACTATAAGAGCACCCCAGATAATGAAAACTTTTATGGAAGTAAAATGTTGGTATCCTCTCTGCCACAAAAATCTGTAAGGCAGTTTGCCATTAGATGAAAAGAAGACTGGTTTCTTCTGAATCTAGCTTTCAACTCTTTTCCTTGCATATGATAAAAAACCAATTAGATAGGAAACAACGCTGTATGTGAATTGAGAAGGTAAGAAACCATGGGGTGTTCAAAATGCTGGGTGCAAATCCTGTTCTGTGCAAGGCTGCCAGTACAAGGCACTCTGAGCTGAGATGGTGACACCTGCAGAAGTGTTTGCAGTGTTCTGATTGGAAAGTGAACATGTTGATTGCCCATCTACAGATCTAAGTGATGGCATTTATTTTCCCTCTGTAGGGGAATGTTTTACAGCAGACAGATCATGTTACAAGGGCAGCCAACCTAAAGTGTTGCTTCAGCTTTGTAAATGCCATGCCTTAATGCAAGAGAGCCCTTTTTGTTATCTGTCAAATACCTGAACTGATGATACCATTACTTCCTTTTGTGGTGTTTCTCTACCCTTTCTGAACAGCTAAAGGTCATGTTTTAGCAGAGCATACCCCGTTGAGACTCATTTTTAATGATGTTAAGATTGCCAGATAAACATTTTGTAGCAAAACAGGATTGGAAAACCTGGTCTTGATACTTTCTTCCTAAATGCATCTCCGACCAAGAGCTGGGGCCCATCCAGGACAAAGGCAAACTGCCAGAGAGTACAATTGGTTATGGCAGCTGAGGGAGAGACTCTGCAGGAGAGAGGGGCACAGCTGGTGAGTGCATGCCTTGAGAACTGGAGAGAAAACAAGTCAGTGCACTTCTGAAAGCCAAATCCCCTTCAAACATTGAAACATCCAACATTGTGTGTAAAGGCAAATGATGTACCTGGGAGATGTCTTCATTAGTCTTTGTCATAACCAAACTTGAGGTAATGGAGTGGGACACCTGCCAGTTCAACACTGATTATTTATTTGTGTAATTGGCATGTGAGAGAGAATTTCTGCTCCGTTTCATGTGGTCCAAAAACTTCCACATTGAGACCATCTGTGACTGGTCAATTCCAGCAACAATGCCAGGTTTTAAATCTTGGCTGATGTTTCAAATACAAAACACCTTTACATCAGTAGCAAGCACTATTCAGAACTGAGGAAAATACATGTGGTTATCCATATATGTAAAATTATGGCTGTTTGTATGTCATTTATTAATATTAGCCACACAAAACCCCTCTTTAAGGTTCTTGGCTCTTGAATTAGATTTTTCCCCTCTGAAATCTACTGCTGTCACTGGCTGTGCCAAAGGCTGCTGACATAACAGAATTAATCACCATAATCAGGATAAAGAATTATTCATTTTCTCATTGAAGTGCCCTTGCACTGATCCTTGCTAGATCAATACTCCAGAGCTCATGTGAGCTCCTGTGGCACACTGGCAGTGAGAGTCTGGCAGGGCCTGCAGCAGATGCTCAAGGTACCTGCTGTAATTTAGCAAGGTCACTTCTCAGTGGACATTTATTTGTGCTGCTGTTCTGACAATTGCAAACGCCTGTGCTGTCAGCCTGTCTGGAAATTGGGATCAGGAATTAGCCCTGCAGTGCCTGGCCTTCCAGGGCTCAGAACAGGCAGGTTTAAGCTGCTTTAAAGTAATCTGGTGGACTCAGGCTGGAGCAGACAAGCATGTCAATCTGTGGCAACACAGGCCACATAGGATGGGATGTGTTGGGTTTTCTCTGCTTATCCAGTACAGCTGAAAGCAGCTGCTCTGTTTGGGATAGGCTTGCTTTCAGAGAAAGTGCATAACTTTGGTTATCTTAAGGTAAATGGAAGGAACAGGATGGAACAGAACATGAACATGTATTCTGACTTCATTGAAAAGCAGATCAGGTACAAAATCATATTGGCTCAAATTTTCTTCATTGCTTACATTTCCTTTGGAAATACTGTCCCTGGTTAAAGGACATTTTGATTTGAGAGTGGGACAGTCCTAACATGTAACCACTGATACCCATGTGTTATGTGTTGTACTCCAGGAAGCTAAGGCCTTGATAAAATCTTACACTTGAGGTTTTTTAACCTCTGTGATGATCATTTTAACAAAGCTTAAGTAGGACTTGAATTAAAATCACAGTAGCATTTATTGTGCCTATAGAACCTAAAAAACAAAAAAAGCTGTGGTCACCTCTGTAAGCTCTTGCATTTCTTTATTATGGTGAAAGCACCAGCTCATTATGAATTCATTGGGTGCTCCTGTAGATTTAATGCATTTTCCTTTAAACTCAGGTGTAATTTAGCACCTGTGACTGGGAGTCTTTTGATCAATCCAGTATTGCTCATTCTCTGTCCAGAAAGTGAATGGAAGATCATTAAAATGTACTGAGCAGCTGAAAAAGTAGTAGCAGGCATGTCACAGAGAGTTACAGGCCAAACTTAGAGGTGCTCAAAGTCCTCTTTGTTTAGGCAGAAAAGTGTTGGTGTGTCTTGCAAAACATTACATGCATCTGTCCAGGTCCTGATTCTATTTCCAGAGGAGCCAATGGCAAAGTTCCTATTTATCCAAGTGGAAACAATTCAATAATCTTCAGTATCTACAGTTCATCTTTAATGTCAGGAGGTGTTATGGAACACAACATGAGCCTAAGCAAAAGTGGGGAAGATGAAGCAAAGCTTTTAACATGAGGTTAATATGTTAACCATTAGCATGAAAATATTAGTTCTAAATTTCAACAGTTGCACTGGAAAGTGCTCTCAAGACTGAGAGATGAAGCTGCTTAAAGCAGGAAGAGATCCAATTCTACAAGATGCAGAAATGTAATTAGTCATCTCCCAAAAGTCTTCATGCAATTAATAAAGATTTTCTAAAAGCTCAAAGCACTTAGGACATAGGAAAATGTTATCATCTCTTTTTTAGGTGCATAAATAGAAAGCACAGTAGTTGACAAAATCACAGCCTGTCCAGTTGGCAGCAGCCCTCTGCAGCTTGGACTCTTCATTCCTACCCATGAAGCTCCAGACGAAACATATTTTATGACACTTCTTTATTAAGATTATGTGTGCTGTAATTGGCTACTACACATGGGAAATTTGAAGCAAGGCCTAGTTTTTAGCTTCCATAAGCAGTTTAGACAAAGATCAGCAAGACAATGTCAGAGATGTGAGGAATAATCCATAGAAAAGCCACTAGTTGCCCTTTGCTAAACAAACAGTAGGTTCACAAGCCTGTACTTCAATATGGAACTGGGAGAAAATAAATTGCATTTCTGTGTCTCACCAAATTAAGCTACTACAGATAAGCACGTTTACTGAGAAACAACTGCTCAGCATGAGAAAACCTATTGTAGCTATCCCAATTGTAGCTCCTATTTTCTCACACTAAAGTATACTAAAGTGTTTGTTGCATTATTTTAAACCTCACTTCTACAGCCTGTGATTCTCCCAAAGTGTTTCCCAGCTTAAATCGAATTTGAAATTCACTTTGGTTTCCTTCTGAAATGAGAAATACTGAGTGCCTCCGGGCCCAAGTAATATTTTAACTTCATCTTGATGTTACATCACATCTATTGTAGATTTTCACATTACAAAAACGCTAATTAAAAAAAAGAATTATTAGAGTGTAAAAATGCCAATCCCCCCACAAGTTCCTTAACTGATAATACAAGTATTTTACTGCTATAATTGCCTGTTGCTGTTCCTACTGTTTTATTTTTGGCATAGAGTAAGAGGTTGATTATTTTGAAAGTGAATCCCTGCTAGTCAGGGTCACAAACCCTTGGGCTGCCTCCTGTCTGATTTAAACTCAGCCCCTTGTTTTGATGGCAGAGGCAAGGATGGGCTTTTTTTTGCCAAAGCACTCACAGTTCCTGTGGAGCACTGTGCAATTCCTTACCAGGCATTTCGCACATACAACCAGTGCTGCCAGATTTGGAACATTAAAATAATTCGGAAGTTAGACAATAAATTGCATTCCTTCCACATTCTCCATGCTTTCTTGATGTTACATGCATTTCAAAGATTCCCTCTTAACATTTACCTGCTAGTACTGCGCAAGAACACTGCTATGATCTACTGTCAAAAGCATTTCTGAGCAGACAGGGCCAACATAAAACGTAGCATATTCCATCTAAGCATAGATGCACCTTCAGAAAAATACTGCTCTTCTGTTCAACACTTCACAAAGTCACCAGCAAATCAACAGCTTTACAAGCCTTTCCTGTAAGCACCATTTCTGACCTTGCTTTAAGGCAGCGGGTTTTGGTCAACCAAGGGCAGACCTGTGCCCAACATCCTGCTGGTGCTGGAGTTTGGATTCCCACCATTCCCTTGTGCCCAGCATCCTGCTGGTGCTGGAGTTTGGATTCCCATGTGCCCAGCATCCTGCTGGTGCTGGAGTATGAATTCCCACCATTCCCATATGCCCAGCATCCTGCTGATGCTGGAGTATGGATTCCCACCATTCCCTTGTGCCCAGCATCCTGCTGGTGCTGGAGTTTGGATTCCCATGTGCCCAGCATCCTGCTGATGCTGGAGTATGGATTCCCACCATTCCCTTGTGCCCAGCATCCTGCTGGTGCTGGAGTTTGGATTCCCAGCATTGCCTGGGCTGTCAGAACCTGTGTAAAGTATAAATAACATTTATCCTATTTAAGATGTGACAGATCTCCTATGCTATGCTATTTTATTATATCTAAAATGAATTTGGAGATGATGATATATATTTGCTGCTGACCCTGAAGGTTTTATCTTAAAATCTCTTGCTACAATGCCTTCATAATATATTAATATGACTATCT